CCAACAAGAGGCGCTGATTTTCAGAGACAAGAAATGAATCGGAGCTCGCTGTGGGGTGAAAAAGAAAAGGCTCTGAGGTGAAGCTCAACTGTCAATCAAAAACCTCTCCTGACTCTCCAGACAAAAGGCTGGACTCACTGCAGAGGATTCTGCAGACGAGGAAAGGAAAGAAGGAGCCCATTTGACTTTGTGTATTGAGTGAAATGAAACAAAAACAAAACTGTGTTAACATCCTTCCTCGGCAAGTAAAGACACGCGCTGCCCGACGCCGCCACCGCCACCGCCACCAGCCTCCGACACCTAATTTTTCACCCACTCAACAACCAGACAACTCTTCCTCCGCGCCTGGGCTCCCATCATCCCACGATGGAAGTGATCATTTGTTCCTTTATTGTTGTTGAAAACAGCACTGACTTGAGTTTGCACGCCGTCCCTTCGGTGTTAGCCTCCGGCGTTTGGCATTATTGGCGCATTATTTCACGCATGCCCTCCTCTTTTATCAAGCGCTCTTTAAAGTAATGTTAATAGACTAGAAAATGGAGACGTTTATGAAGTATGGGCCCTGTTTATGAAAAAATCCATAAAGAATGACAGGGAGAGGTGAGATAAAAGCAAGGTTTTAAGAGATGATGGCAAACAGGGGAGGAGGCGTCAGCTGCTGACAGGGAGCCTCCTCTGAGATCCTTCATATTTTATGGGATTAATTTTGGTGTATTAGAAATGAAGTTAAACGTCCTAATTAATCTGTTCACGTTGCATGAAGACTTCCCACGGCGTAGGTAACCCCCTCGCCCCCCCTCCCTCACACACTCACACACACTGTTTTGGCTAATTACTCTTCAGCTGTATATGAGGTAGATACAGTTTATTCCCAAATGGAGGGTGAGGGAGTTTCGAGGAGATGAGGAGGGGTGTTTGATGTGCTGAAGGTGGAGTTGAGGGGTGGTGGAATTGTGCAAGTTGGCCTTTTTTAGGATACTCAAATATTCTGAGATCAACAAAGGATAAAACTCAAGTGTGTACGTTAGGGGATTTTTTTATTGTGAGATCAACAAAGGACAAAAACTAAAAAAGTGTGTACGTTAGGGGATTTTTTTATCTCATAATCTCAAAATAAACTTTAAGGTCTAATGGTCTTAAGGTTATTCAGCGTTGGGAGTTTACCAGGTAAGACTCCAATCATACAGACATGATGTAGCCCGTCAGTGAGCATCAACTGGCGGCACGCGGGCTAAATCAAGCCCACAAAACCATTAAATCCACCCCGCGACTGGATTCCAAAACAGAAAATAATGTTAGACTAAAATGTGATTTTTATTCCTTTTTTTTAATTGATTGTTTTAGTAATGATGTATTACTAGTAGTAGTAGTACAGTATAAATATTACATTGCTGCTATGATTATCCATCTTGTTTTACTCTATCATAAAGGAATCTCAGTGGGTGGCAAAAATACAGATATGTGAAACCCCCAACCGAATTATCTTTTGTCATGACCTTTGACCCTCTGTTTTTAACAAACACACAGACTGACTTGCAGCTGTCAAACTTTTTTATGTCTGTCAGACGATAATTAAAACCATGGCAGCCGCCTCGGTCCACTCCACCCTTTAATGCTAAGCGTTAGCGTCAGATTCACTTCTGACTGATGTCTAACTGCCCACTTTGACAATTTCTCAAAAATCCAATGCAAATCATATCGTGGACCGAAGTGCATGGAGCTCTTTCTACAACACTGACCGTCACTCACAATTAGGGGATGGAACCAAGGGGGTTAGTGTTGAGCAGCGACTGGTGGCTAACGCAGTCAGCTCCCCGTATGCAGCCCACAGAATCTGATCAGTGAGTATAATTTCCCAGCAAATATCCCAGGGGTGAGGCCACTTACCTTAACAAGAGAGAGAATATGTTTAACAACCGTGCAGCTGAGAGTCTCCGCAGTCAGAGCGGGTTTGACTATTGTGTTTGAATGTGTGAACAAAAGTCCAAGGGGAATTAGCTGAGCTGTGATTCACAGAAGAGTGGGGAAAATTGATATTTTACTGTGATTAACTTGGGGGTCTTGTGTCTTGTACTTTGACAGTACTGCCATCCCCCCGACCCCCCAGACCGCCCCGACACATTCACATCTATTTAATCCTCTGTGGAAACATTTATTTAAAAAAAAATAAAAAAAATAAAAAAAATAAAGAAAATATTTACATAGAATCAATCTGCGCTGCTTCACCACCCTCCTGCAATAGTCGTGTACACCCTGTAGGTGCGTGACCCCAATTTTGGAACCAATGCTTTATAATATATATA